GACTCTTAGGAAGCTCAGCACACAGAGCCCCCTGTCTTCCCCTTTTAGACCCCACTACACATTTACTGTGCAGCACACAAATCAGGAGGTTGCCATAGAGACAACGTGGCACCAGGGAAAGATAGAGCCTTAGCTCCAAGGGAAGGCGGAGTAGAGAGAAGGCCATATTTTTATTTTTCCTTTCTTCCTTCCTTCCTTTCTCTCTCACTCCTTCCTTCCTTTTCTTCTATCTTCATTTCTTTATTTTTGATGGGGGTGGGTGGAGGTAGAGACTTGAGCATGTTTCTGGACTGATCGGCAAGAAAAGCAGGAGATTCTATTGTGAGGTGGTGGAACATGCATGCTCCTTGCATGGGCTGGAGGGGTGGTCCCTGAGCACAGGGAGAAATGTTGGCCTTGGATGGGGGCAGGAAGTGGGAGAGACAAAAAGGTTGATGATTCAATTAAATTTAGTGAGCATTTGCTAGAGGCCAGGGGTCCTGCCCTCAGAAGGTCTCAGGCAAGTGAGGCAGAGAGGAGGGATTGATTAGCATCGGGTACATGATGCAGGGGCTCAGCCAGATCCCATGGGAGTGTGAAGTGCAGAGAGAGAAATGCCCAGGTCTATCTGGAAAGGTGGCATGGAGAGAGGAAGGATATCCCAGGCTGCTGGGCATGGGCATGGGGGTAACAGCCTGGCCTGTTTGGGGTGGCTGAGCAGCAGTAGGTGGGCATGGAAAAGGATGTGGAAGAATGAAGTGAGACAGATAAGGTGGGGTGAGATCAGCTGAGTCTTGATGTAGGAGTTTGGCCTTTTTACCAAGAAATACCTACAAATCAAAGTGCAATTGACACAGGAGGAAATCTTGGGAAAGGGCCACTTGGTAAATATAATATCAAGGTGGGACTCTCCTTTGCCTCACCCTGTCTGAATTACCAGTTGCTCAGGTAGGGAACCCTCAGGGGGTTATGAGAGGTTACAGTAGACCCTAAAAATTGGTCCTGGCTTGGGGGAGGAAACTGGGGTTCTGTGGCTTACAAACTGGGTGGCACTGATCTTCCTGAGGCACACTTTGTTCTCCAGATGGCCTCAGCATTTGTAGCCCATGTCCCAGTGGGTGGCCTGGACTCTGCTCCATCCAGTGTGGTCTGCTGGATGGCCTGGTTCAGATCAGCCTGCACTTCTCAGCCTGACATGGCCTGCTTGAGGCTTGCACAAATCCGTGGGCTTTGGGATGACATGCAGATAAAGTCTCTGCTTTGCCATATCCTAGCTGTGTAGCCTGGGCTACTAAGCAAGAGTCTTTTCTCAGCTGTAGGATGGGGATTTTGAAGCCTGTCTCACAGGCCAGAGTCTGTCCAGAAGAAAGACTTGCCATCCCACCCCTTTCCCATAGCCCAGCATTCCTCAGCAGGGTGCTGCTTGCTTGTGGGAGGGACACTTCTTCATTGTACCAGACTCTCCTGCCCAGTGGTGGGGTGGTTAGCACTCCTTTCCCATAGCCCAGCATTCCTCAGCAGGGTGCTGCTCGCTTGTGGGAGGGACACTTCTTCATTGTACCAGACTCTCCTGCCCAGTGGTGGGGTGGTTAGCTTTCCTGGTGCCTGCCCACTGGTTGCCAGTAGTGGCTCCCAGTCTTTGTGACAGCCCCCAAACTCTCCTGCACATTTTCATTTCCCCCTAGGGGGCAGGTACCACCCCCAGTTTAGCTGATTCAACTCAAGATGCATTTGTTGAGTTCCAACTATGCAAAAGGAAGAATGCTGGGATTGCCCTTGAAGGGGATTGTGTGTTATGGTAGAAGGAAGAGTGGCCTGGGAGGCAGGAAAATAAACTTTCTGTCCCAGCTCTATACCAGTCATTTAATCTTTTTCTGACTTTGAATCTACTGAATGCCTATGTTTAAGGCCACACCACAGCCTTAAACTTGTTTTCAAAGTGCTTACAGTTGAGTGTAGAGTGTATTAGAGGAGGACAGAGATAGTACTATGGGAATTCAGAGGAGGGAAAGATTACATCCAATTTGGAGGCTCAGGGAGGGCTGCTCAGAAGAAGTGGCATTTAAGCTGGCTCTCAAACTTTGGATAAGAGTCGGACTTCAAAAAGCAATAACAACCATCAGTCAAAGGTTGACTGCCAGGCACTGTGCTCAGTTCTGTATAAACATTATCTCTTATGAGCCTTACATAGATGAGGAAACTGAGTAAGTTTCCCAGGGCCACAGTGAGTTACTGACTGTATCAGTTGGCTATTGCTGCATAACAACTACCTTTGGATAAGAGTCGGACTTCAAAAAGCAATAACAACCATCAGTCAAAGGTTGACTGTATGCCAGGCACTGTGCTCAGTTCTGTATAAACATTATCTCTTATGAGCCTTACATAGATGAGGAAACTGAGTAACTTTCCCAGGGCCACAGTGAGTTACTGACTGTATCAGTTGGCTATTGCTGCATAACAACTACCCCAAAACTCAGTGGTTTAAAACAGTAGCCATTTATTATTGTTCATGAGTCTGTGGGTTGGCTGGGGACTGGTCTAGGATGGTCTTGGATGGAACAACTAGACTGTCTTCCACATGGACTCCCATCCTTCAGCAGTGTAGCCCAGGCTTGTTCTCATGGAGCCTAGGACCAGAATGCCACCGCCTTTGTTCTACCACATTCTGTTGGCCAAAGCAAGTTACAAGGCCAGCCCACATGCAAGGTGAAGGGAAGTAAACTCTACTTCTTGGTGGGAGTAGCTGCAAAGTCACATTGCAGAGGGCACTGATATAAGAAGGCATGGGCCATCTTGCTGTCTGTCTAGTCCGGTAGCAGAACAGAATTGGATCTCTGGTCTAGCTGGCTCTGAACTGCATTCTTTCCACGAGAGTTCACTTCCTCCTGGGAGGAGGAAAAAATTTAGGACAAAGAGAAGAGCATGAGCAAAGGAAAGGAAACAAAAAAACTCAGGACATGTCCGGGACATGCTAGATGGTTCATTTTTGCGGACTGTGTAAAGGGGAATAGTGAGAATAAGGCAGGAGAGGCTGGTTCAGGCAGTTCTTAGAGGCCTTGAAAGCAAAGCTAAGCTGCTTGGACTCTATCCTGTGTGTGAGAAGCCCCAGGATTTTTCAAAATGTCGAATTTATAATAGTATAACTTACATCCAGCAAAATTCATCCTTTTTAGGTACGCAATTCTATGAGTTTTGAGAAATGTACATAGTCATGAAATCACCATAAGGATGATATAGAATATTACCATTCCCTTAAAAAGTTTCCTTGTGCTATCTGTAGTCAATCTATTCCTCCTCCCCCAGCCCCTGGCAACTACTGATACAGTCATCATCCCTATAGTTCTGCCTTTTCCAGAATGTCATATAAATGGAATCATCCATATGTAGAAGTTTGTCTTTTTTTTTCTCGTTTTACACAATGCTCTTGAGATTCATCCGCGTTGCTGCGTGTATCAGTAGTTTGTTCCTTTGTAATGCTGAGCCGTATTCCATTGTATAGATGTCCACAGTTTGTTTATCCCTTCCCAAGCTGAGAGACATTTGAATTGTTTCCAGTTTTGGAAATTTTTAATAAATCTGCTATAAATGGTTATAAACAGGTCTTTAGATAGACATATGTTTTCGTTCCTCTTTGGTAAATATCTAGGAGTAGGATTTCTGGGTCATTTGGTAAGTGAATGTATAACTTTATAAGAAACTGCCAAACTGTTTTGAAACGGCTGTCCTATTTTGTGTTCCCAGCAGCAATGTGTGGGAGGTCTAATTGCTCCATACCCTTGTCAGCATTTGGTACTGTCATTGTTTTTTTGTTTTCTAATTTTAACCATTCCAATAATATACTACATTATGATTTATGGTTTGAATTTGCATCTCTCCAATGACAAGATGTTGAGCATCTTTTCATGAGCTTCCTTTCACCTCTTCTTTGGTGAGGTGTTTTCAAATCTTTTGCACATTTTAAAAAATGCCTTGCTTGTTTTTATATGTCAAGTTTTGAGAGTTCTTTATATATTCTAGGTATAAGTCCTTTATCAGATATGTGTTTTGTGAATATTTACTCCCAGCCACTCAGAAGGATTTTAATGGGCAGTAACTCTTGTGTTTTAAAAACTGACTTTGTGGCATTATGGGGTGGGGAAATGGGATGGGGGGGATAGAGACAAGGAGGCTGTCGTCATGGTCCAGATGAGCGATGAGGCCCTGGGCCAGGCTGGGGTCAGTACGGATGGGGAGGAGTGAAGAGACAGAGGCATGGAGACCCACTGGGTAGTAGGAAAGGCCCTTTACCCTGGTGAACCCTCCCTCCCTCTTGCCTTCCTTCCTCTGACAAATATTTGTGGAGCACTGACTAAGCACCAGGTAATGGAGCAGCCATAGGGGAAATACCAATGAAAACATTGAAGACAGCTATTGTTACACACGTTATGCACTTGTTTATTGCCTGTCTACCCCACCAAGTTCACATCTTGGTGTGTAACAATAGCTGGTGGATGCTGTTTGACAAACATTGCAAGGGGTTCTTATGGAAATGCCATCTTCCAAATAGTTCCTGGGATGGGGATCAGAGTCCTCAGGGGTTCCACTCCCAGGAAGGAATCAGAGTGGCGGGAGGAGCGCTTGACTGAGGGCAAGAGCTCTGGGCTTGAATTCTGGCCCTAACCCTGTCCTTCAGGGCCATCTCCGGTAAGTTCCCTCCTCTCTCTGGCCCTTGGTCTCCCTCTCAGGGTTGGGCTAGATGATCTTTCAGGCACTGTGATTTTTCACTTGAAATTCTTACAGATCAAATTGTGTGCTCTGATGTGCTGAGCTGGGTGCAAAGTAGTGGGTTCTCTTTGGAACCAGGGCATTTTGTTGGAAAAGGTCTGGGGGTCATCAATTTTGGCCTCTCACCCAATGTAGGATCCCCTGTGAAGCACAACCAACAGGTACCTGGTCATCCCCTGTGGGTTTCCTCCAGGGGTGGGGAGATTCTGCCTTCCAAAGGACCATTTTAATTGATTTTTCTCTCTGTCTTTTTAAAGGGAAAGGATCACACCTTTTACCAAGGGGAAGTGCCGTCCAACTATAGATTACAATTCAGATCCTACTCCCTAACGCACATGTGAAGGACAGTCTGCGATGACCTGAGGGCCCAAAGGCCTGAAGACAAATCTGGGGGTGGGAGGATGGGAGTGGGAAGTGGTGGGGGAGCTTGGAGAAAGGACACAGGAGAATGCTTGGGAGAGGGGAGAGATGTGGTGGGCTCACCTTCGCTGGAGCTATATACCTGGGGGTCACAATGTCTGCTGGGACAGCTGGGGCCAGATATCTTTTGCTACAAGACACCAGTTATCCTGAGAATTCGAATCAGCCAATGACATGAACAAGGAAGCCAGATAGCAGATGGACTGAGGGATGGGATGTGGTTATACTCTTGGAACCCCTTCTACTCTAACACCAGAGTGCTTGGCTCCCTGTTCATTAAAGTCCAAAAAAGAGGTGGGCGAGTGTAGTGTATATCATATGGCAGCTCTAGGACTCTCCAGGAATACCCTGTCTCCATCCCAGGATGTTTCTGGCAGCTCAGCAGGGCCTCATCCTGTGAGGAGATTGCAGACCTCCAGGCAGTGTCCAGCCATTGGGAACAATTGGCTCCATTCCCAGAGTCAGCCTTTCTGGGCACCCTAGTCAGGTCCAAAGGTTGGTCTGTGGGGTTGGTCACTACATCCTGAGCTTCACCCCTCACTGTTTTTTGTCAGTGAGAGATTGGGCGGGATGGGGGGGTGGATTGTTCTAGAGAAGAGGAGAGTAGGACCCCACAGTCTCAGCCACAGAACTCACATAATACTAAAAAATACTTAAAACATTTTCTTCAGATGGAGAGGATCTTACAAAATGCAGTTACTTTCTCACGCCTGTCAAAGCAACTGTTTTGGAAGAAATAAAACCATCTTTATTCACAGACAACATGATCATCTATGTAAAAATTCATACTGAAGCTTTAAAAAAACTACTAGATCTAAGTCCATTTATCGAGGTTTCAGAAAATAAGGTCAATGCACTTTATCCAAGTCATGTGTTGCTTAACGATGGGGATATGTTCTGGGAAACGTGTTGTTAAGCAATTTTGTTGTTGTGCTAACGTCATAGAGTGCACCTACACAAACCTAGAGGTGTAGCCTGCTACACATCTAGACTATATGGTACAGCCTATTGTTCCTAGGCCTCAAACCTGTACAGCGTGCAAAAAAACTACTGGATCTAAGTCCATTTATCGAGGTTTCAGAAAATAAGGTCAATGCACTTTAACCAAGTCATGTGTTGCTTAACGACGGGGATATGTTCTGGGAAACGTGTTGTTAAGCAATTTTGTTGTTGTGCTAACGTCATAGAGTGCACCTACACAAACCTAGAGGTGTAGCCCGCTACACATCTAGACTATATGGTACAGCCTATTGTTCCTAGGCCTCAAACCTGTACAGCGTGTTACTGTACTGAGTACTGTGGGCAATTGTAACGCAATGGTATTTGTATATCTAAACATAGAAAAGGTACAATAAAATACAGCATTTTAATCTTATGGGGCCACCATTGTTTATGTGGTCCGTCATTGACCAAAACATTGAATGTAGCATGTGACTGTATTCTCATGTACTAGCAACACACAATCAAAAATTGAAAATTTAAAATACCATTTATAATAACCATTAAAACTATGAGATATTTAGATATAAATTTGACAAAAGATGTATGAGATCTGTATACAAAAGTGACAACATACTGCTGAGACATTAAAGAAGACATAAATGGGAGATCTACCATGTTCATGGGTGTTGGGAAAATAGAACAGTTTGGTCAGGGCCCTCACCTCAGGTCCCACCGGGTGTGGTTCAGCATTCTTTGTAAGCAAATTATGTGTGTGTGCGTGTAGTTAGTGTGCATGGGCACCAATGTATCTTTTTAGTTTTGTTGCTATTCTTGTGTTATTGAGAGAGAGAGAGAGAGAGAGAGAGAGAGAGAGAGAAGTAGAGGTAGTTTTAGTGAAGCGGGCAGGTGTCCGCCTTGGGTGTCCACCCGGTGCAGCCATGCTTTCCAACCTACAGCTTCCAAGGAGCTGTTTGCCAGTTACCTACCTCATAGACCTGCGTGAAGGGGTCTGGGGACCCAGCCTGGCATATGAAGGGTTTGTGACCCAGCCTGTGAATGGGCTTTAGGGGTCTGTGGGCTCCAGACCCAGCCTTAGCTTGACAATCAGCCCAGTCAGTGCAGAATTATGAGCAGGTAAAAGAGCCCGACAACTGGTGTGGTTCAGTAGCTTTACAATTGGCATCACGAACAGGATTAAAACGAACAGGATTAAGAGCTAGACAATCGGCGCTCTGAGCAGAATCCCAGACATTAGGTGTGGCTCCACAACGGGTCAAAAACCTCAGTGTTGTTAACGTATCGGTTCCTCCCAAATTGATCTATAGATTCAATGCAATACCAATCAAAATTCCAGTAATTTTTTTGTAAAAGTTAACAAGCTGATCCCAAACCTTATATGAAAATCCAATGACATAAAATAGCCAAAACAACTTTGAAAAAGAGGTATGTTACTGGCAGACCAGGTTCAGCTTGCCCTCTCACACTGAACAAATGACTCAGAAGTTCAAAAGTTGGTGTGAGGATTGGGAGGTTTATCCAGATAACCAGCATCTGGGGGATGACCAGGCTAAATTCATCCCACCTTCTGATGCCTGTTCTAGAGTTTATAAAGGGGAAGAAGTGGGAAGATGAGGTAAGGGTTTTTGTTCTGCAAAAAAAGAGGGAGGCTGGGATCAGCAGAGATGAGATGAGCAGAGGCTGGGATCATCAGTCAGAGGTCAGGGTCCTGTGATGGACTGGTTGCTTTGGCTTCATGGAGTCTGCAGCTGGTGGACTGACTGGTTGGCTTCAAGCCCTTGATGTTATCTCAGGGTTGGAGACCTTATCTCCTAGGGAGAGCTCAAAGATCATAACCTAAGTCAAACATCATTGGAACATAAGAATACCTGACTCAACCTCTAACTAATGTGGATGCAGTTTTCCTTTAAGTAAGAGGGACAGCTTATAATTAGGTTGTTTTGCCTCTCTCTTAGATTTCCTCTGTTTGCAGCTGGTTAAGGAGGTTAAAAAATAAGAAAACTTAGTATCAGTCCTTAATTGTAGGTGCACAACCTCTAAAGCAAATCAACATAAGGTTGTGATTTCATCTCTGGGTAGTTCCAATTATATGGTCAGTTTCTTAATTCCTCCGCTAACCTCAAGGAATTGATGATTATTAGTTCCCAAGTTAATGGCTAACGGAAATTTTCTGCTTGGTCTTAGTTACCCCATAGATGGTCATTTTCTTTTTTTTTTTTATTATTTTTATTTTGTCAATATACAATGTAGTTGATTATTATGT